ACCAGGATGGTCTCGATCTCTTGACCTTGTGATCCACCCGCCTCGGCCTCCCAAAGTGCTGGGATTACAGGCTTGAGCCACCGCGCCTGGCCATTCCAGGTTGTTTTAATGGACAGCCAAGATTGAGAATCCCAAAGCTGGTACAGGAAACCAAATCGGTTTGGTCAGCGTTTCAAAAGTCAATTTACAATAAAATCTATTACAGTCAGCATCAACAATATACAACAGAGCTTGTAGTCGCAGCTCCTCAGGAAACTGAGATGGGAGGATCGCCTGAGCCAAGGAGTTCGAAGCTACAGTGCACTATGATCGCACCTACAACTGTGCCTGGCACACTGTACGTCAGTAAATATTTGCTGAGTGAATAACACTTTCATTTTATTGAAGAGGAAATGAAGTCTATAAAAATCATCTTTCCTTTTTTTTGAGATGGAGTATCGCTCTGTTGCCCAGGTTGGAGTGCAGCAGCACTATCTCAGGTTACTGCAACCTCTGCTTCCTAGGTTTAAGCGATTCTTCTGTCTCAGCCCCCAACGAGCTGGGATTACAGGCATGTACCACCACGTCCTGCTAATTTTTGTACTTTTAGTAGAGATGGGGTTTCACCTTATTGGCCAGGCTTGTCTCGAACTCCTGACCTTGTGATCTGCCCGCCTTGGCAGGCAGTAATCCCAGAGTGCTGGGATTACAAGCGTGGGTCACCGCACCTGTCCTAAAAATGATCTTTCTTGTCACAGATGAGGTTAGTTATGACATATAGCTAGAACCAGAAGCAAGGCTCTTGGCCATGCTTGCCAAGGAATGCCAGCCAGGCTCCAGGAGGCTCTCTCACAACCCAACATTTCCCTTCTCTGTGTCCTACCACTTCATACATCTGGTTCCCCATAAAGGAGAGAATATCCTACCTTCCCTACAGACAATGATGGAATACAAGTCTCCCTCCATGTACCTTGAAGAGATTGCATAAATAGCATTCACAGTAACAAGGAATATCACACAGGGAGAACAGCAGCCCCCAAAGCCAGTGCCTGTATGAGGTGGAAGCAAAAGCTGCCCCGGAAGTGCCTCTTACCGTAGTTGCAGCCCTTTGTTTGTTCTGGTGCCACCTAGCTGGTAAACTTTAGCGGTTTCCACAACACCCGTAATCTCAGCAACCTAAGTGAGAGGACAGAGACACCAGTCAAAACCAGACTCTTCCAGAGCTTTCCATAGCACTCTTCCTTTGCCTTTATCTGACTGAGTGCTATGGAAATCTGAGTGCCGAGTAGAGCCCATAGCTGCCAGGGGTTCTGGGAACCTTTCTCAGGTTTAGAATCCAGATGGCCACGCACAGGGAGCTTTGTGCCCAGGAGGAGCAAGTGCCAGCAGAAGAGGAGCCTGGGGGGCCCACTGGAAGCTTTTCCTCCAACTAACTCTAATTTACGAGGGATATATGTGGGATTTCACCAGTTGATTTTTATCAACCAAATGTGAAGACCATGTAGGTCAGTGTCTGTTGCCAAGTTTGTATGGCCGCAGGTCCTGAAACAAGGAGATAATACACGTAAAAACCAGACAACTCAGAATAAAACAAAACAAAAACAAACCAGGCTAGGCGCTGTGGCTCATGCCTGTAATCCCAGCACTTTGGGAGGCTGAGGTAGGAGGATTACTTGAAGGCAGGAATTTGACACCAAACTGGGCAACACAGAGAGACCCACATTCTACCAAAAAAAAAAAAAAAAAAAAATTAGCTGGGCATAGTCGTGTGTACCTATAGTCCTAGTTACTCAGGAGGCTCAGGTAGGAGGATCGTTTGAGTCCAGGAGTTCAAGGTTGCAGTGAGCTATGATCACACAGCTGCATGCTAGCCTGCTTGGGCAACAGATCAAGACCCTATTTCAAACAGGCTGGGCACAGTGGCTCACGCCTGCAACCCCAGCACCTTGGAAGGCTGAGGCAGGAGGATTGCTTGAGTCCAGGAGTTCCAGATCAGCCTGGGCAACATGGTTAAGACCCTGTCTCAAAAAAAACATCCGGCACTTTAGGGAGCTGAGGCCAGAGCATCACTTGAGGCCCGGAGTTTGAGACCAGCCTGAGCAACATAGGTAGACTGTTTCTACAAACAATTTTTTAAAAATCCTAAAGTAGTCAGGCATGGTGGCTCACACCTACAATCCCAGCACTTTGGGAGGCTGAGGCAGGCAGATCACTTGAGGTCTGGAGTTCAGGACCAGCCTGGCTAACATGGTGAAGCCCCATCTCTACAAAAAATACAAAAATTAGCCAAGCATTGTGGTGCGTGCCTGTAGTCCCAGCTACTCGGAGGCTAAGGCATGAGAATCACTTGAAACCAGGAGGTGGAGGCTGTAGTGAGCTGAGATCATGCCACTATACTCCAGTCTGGGCAACAGGGCGAGACTCTGTCTCCAAAAATTAAAAAATAAATAAATAAATCCAAAAGTGTTGGGATTACAGGTGTGAGCCACTGTGCCCAGTCCAACCAGACCACAGAAGCAGTGCTGGAACCTACATAATAACCTGTATTAAGCTGGAGGGTTTTTTTTAACCTCAATACAATTCCCAGGCATGGAAGTCACTTGGTACGCAACATGAAAACTTTTCACTGATTTTTCAAATGATCAAATCTTCACATTATGTAACTCCCAAAGAACACTCCCTTCTCCCTTTTATACTGAAGGAGGGGATAGAGAAAATTATTCTAAATCCAAATCCACTAGCCCCTTGAGCTCCAAGTCCTCTTACTGGCGACAAGTCATGAATGATTCCTGGGCACCTCAAATTGTCACTGCTCTATGAGCAACCCACTTGGAGTCTACTTTCCATCAAATGCTGACAGAAGAGTGATAGATTTTTTCAGTAGCTCCTGCCCTCAGTTGAGACTAATTGTATTTAAAGCATAGACAATTGTCCAAGGGAAGAAATACCAACCCGGTAAACTGGTTTGCTGTTGTGGTTTCCAATGCCAATCCGTACAAAACATCCTGTGACGGTTTTGGCAAAAAAGGGCATGTGACACCAACGTTCTAGCTTATGCCGTGATAATCGAACCCGATTCAATTCTTCAGGTAAGGAAACTGGTTGGGATTTTGGAGGGATCTCTTCTTTCCTATGAGGAACAAAGGGGTACTGGAAAAAATGTTCATCATAAAAACAGAAAAATCATACCAACTTCTCAAAACTTAACCAAAATACATGTGACTAGCCTAGGAGGAGAAACAAATGAAACACCAGGAAAGACTTGTAATAGAATCCTGTTCCTGACCAGAAGTGTGAGCTGCTTCAAATAAGGCTGCCATCTTAGACAACGCATCAGAGTATGAAAATGGGCCAAGCGCAGTGGCTAACACCTGTAATCCCAGCACTTTGGGAGGCCAAGGCAGGCAGATCACCTGAGGTCAGGAGTTCGACACCTGCTTGACCAACATGGTAAAACCCAGTCTCTGCCGGGCGCGGTGGCTCAAGCCTGTAATCCCAGC